TTTGATTATATTCTTCTTAATCTAACAGTAAAAAGTACTTCATAATTTACCACTGTAATTCTTTTATTATATATACATGTCCTGTAATCTTATAATTTTTAATGTTTATATATTATACATAGTTTACCTCGTGCTCTTTACTTTTTAATATTTTATATGTATTCTATCGTTTCTTCTTTTTTGTTGGTTATTTTTTTACTTATGTTTCTACGGGCAATTGTTATTTTAGGACGTGGTAATCTCATGATACATTTGTACAGAGTCTCTTAGAGGATTAAATAAATACAGTTTATATTTGTCATTTTACTCCAATGAATTTTTGGTAGATACGTATTATTTTATATCTTAATAAATACTTGGAATAAATGAAAATGAAAGAATTTTATTTACTATATTTACTTTTCTAATACTGCGATTTTTCTCAAATTACAATTACAGTTAATATTGTATTCAAAATTGTTTAAAATGGACATTTAGTCGATTTTTACAGTCACCCACATAATGTGATTTCATGTTCAGTCTGGTTCGCCCATAAAAAACGCAATTTTTAGTTATACGTTTATTCAAGCTGTTCTTTCAAACAACGTATAACTGAGATTTTGCTGTGGTTGAATTAATTAATTTCAGCCAAATTTTATTCGAGCTTTTGTGAATTTAGTATAGCCTTTAGTGTAATTTATGGATAATATGTTCATCAATACAACTCGTCAATCAACTTAAAAATAAATATTCAAGTATTCCATAAACTTTAAATACTGTATATTTTACTTAAGTTATTAATTATTCAAAACAGTGACATTTAGATAATTTATGTGTGTGATATCATTTAACAGCTGAAATTTATCAAATATATCACGGTTATCAAAGAAATGTGTATCTTTGATGATTACCGTCGTCGGAAAATACTATTTTTATTAATTATGCATAAAATTTATCTTGCCAAATTTCCTAAAAATTCTCTTTAAATTGAAAAAATGCATTTATGAAATGAAAGCATAACTTCAATATACAGTAGTTATTTAAATTTTTAAACTCTTCGTTACTCTAAACTCTATTGATTTTATAAAACTTTCACTGATCTATTTGGATACATTATTCACTGCATTAAAAATACCGTCTTTTAAAGTTTTCAGAGAATTTTTAAACTCTTCGTTACTCTAAACTCTATTGATTTTATAAAACTTTCACTGATCTATTTCGATACATTATTCACTGCATTAAAAATACCGTCTTTTAAAGTTTTCAGAGATTTTTTAAATAGTTTTTACATAAATCACTTTTATATAAAAATTCGATCTTGGATTCTCCTAACAAAAACTTTAAATCGCTCTGTAACTAAATGCATTCTATAGAAATAACAAAGAAGATATTGTATAGTACGAAACAAAATTGTTTTTTAAAGTTAAGCATAAACTTTTATTATGCTTAACTTTATAAAAACAGTTTTGTTCCACACTAGACAATTTAATTATAAAGGAATTATTTTATTAATTCCGTATTTTCATATTTTTTTGAAACTTTTTACAAGCATTTAAAAATAAGCAATTTCAAATGCTAATTTTGTAAATTATTCAAAGAACTTCAGTATTGAATAATATTATTTCGTCTTTCTTATTTTTTAAACGACCAATCTTACAATAAAGCTACAGAACATAAATTATAAAAAATATAAATCGAACCTTGGTTGGATTTAAACTTAATTTTTATTAAAATTGAATCACGTGAATTAAGGAAGAAATGTATTTAATAAATAACTGTTACGTACTTTGTAACTTTTGTGTAAATTACACTTTAGAAGACTTTCTGTGAATTCGATTGGTTCAATAGACAGAATAATACACTAAATTGATTTGTCAAATCTTTTATTCTGTTCAGAATGAATTGAATCACATTTGTTAGGTTTTATTTGATGATGATTTCAAATGAATTTTTTTAAATTGTAATTTGACTTTTTTTTTAATCAATATTTTTGAAGTTAATAAAAATAGAAAAGTATAGCTTACCGTATTTCATCTGTTAAACCGCCGGGATTTATTTTTAAAACGTACATATATCCGGAATTTATTTGAAGTCATAGGGTTTTTTAGAAGCCGGAATTTATTACCTGGCAACAGGAATCGAATAAGTGAAATTGAAAGAAAAATCTTAATTACTCGTACATTTATACGATTATTATTACATTATCATTCTTATTCGCTTCGATATCGTTTTAGGAGTCAAGATCTCGACTACCATTTTTCAGTACAAACTCATCATTTGTTTTGGAAAAAGATGGCCAGTTTGAATCGGAAATTTCCTAATTACCCTATTGGTTGATAAGCTCTTGACTTATGAACTTGATAGAGACTTTTCCACACTCAATATTCGACAATATTTTTAATTTTAAATAAAAAATGTTTTTATGATTTTGGAATAGAAAGTGCTATCCGATTGTAGACAATTTGAGTTAAATTCTCACTCTAAACCAGTGCTCTGCAACCTTTTCTAACGCACGGCACATCTAGATATCAGAATTTTGTGGCATATCAGAAATAAAAGTATACAAAAAATATAGGAATTAATAAAAAATAATATAAAATATTATAAATAGGCGACTGTGGCACGCATTTCGGCAGATTTACACGTACACAGATTTTGTGAAATATGACTGCAAAAGTGTAAAAGTTTGAAGTTTGTTAGAATTTCTGCTGTCAGAAACGCCACTGGCAATAAACATGTAATAGGCAAATCGTTGTTCCTTTTGAATGGACATGAATATGATAAATATTCATGTGCCTACCATAAACTCTGTGATTTTCCTCCTCTTGGAGGTCTGCGGATCTCTGCTTTAAAATACATTATCCTATACTTTGCATTACTTCAAAATGTTTTTCGTGATTTTGAGCCCAGGGTTTATTTTTAACACCATCTGTATTCCCCGAGATTTATTCGAATACCGAGTTTATTTGAATCGCGGGATTTAATCGAAAAAAAGGGTATTTCAATTTTCAATTTATAAGTTTTTATATTTGTACTAAACGTTCTTTTAGACTTGTTTAAACAAAAAATTTTTACAATACTTGTTGCATTCTAAAATAATTTATAAATAGCCTTTGTAATTTGTAAGCTAATTCTCATTTAAGATTGTGCGTATTTAAATTGTTTATAATGAATACTTCATACTATTCTTATCATTAATGAAATAATTATATTTCTTAAATTCTTTTATTTGTATTCTACTCATTAACTTTATAGCCTGAGTATAAGTGAAAATGTAACCTTGACAATTAAGAAAAATATTTAAGTTTATTGGGAAATTTAAATGATGATATTAAGAGGAAATTCATCCAGATCTTATCAAACAGAAATCTGATATAATCATTAATATATTTTTTATCTTTAATTTGAAAAATATTGTAATATAATACTGTATCTGAATTATCTCTACTAAATAAGTCCATGAACTAATTTTTAAAATTGGCCTAACTTTTAAAATTTAAATATATTTTTATTTTATTATACATTTATGTTTACAAATTAATATGTAAATGTACGTACTTACTAAAGAAAAATATAGCAATATCATAATTGCTTGCATTGAACCTCACTTCCTTTAATTTTCCTTTGATATAATACTTCCTCACATTTTGATATAATTAATAACCTATATATTTATTATACAAAAATAATTATAATATAATAATCAAATATTTAAAATCTTAATTATGAGATGTAAAATATAATCTTACATTTCAGTTTATTTCTAAGTTTTATTCGTTTCCCAGGATAAACGAGTTAATTACTTGCTAATTACCTGGATGAATTTCACTATTCTATATTAAAATGTTGATCGTCATATTGAAAATATGAAAAAAGTATTAAAATAAAATAATTAAAGTATTTAAATTTAAAAACCTCTTGGCTTGTTTCTTCTGATTTTAATTAAATTTGATATGAAAATATATTTTAAGTTCTTATATTATCATTAAAATTACCTTTAATTTTCTTTATCAAATGCCTTTCAAAATGTTATTAATGATTTTTAAGATGTCCTCGAGTCAAGAATATCTCGAAGAATATGATAACGACGTATTTATATGGCAAAATATTGACACAAACTATTCTTGCAATAATTAACAGCTGATATATTTAATGTAATGTTACGCAAAATGCCTTGGGATATAATAACTTCAGAAACTTTGCAAATAATAAAAAGGGAGCTCAATTATAGTATAATGATATGGGAGTTCTATTAGGTCACGGTCCTGTCTTGATCGGCGAGATGGCCTTGACCTAATTTTTGAATCTTCTGAAAATTGTTGAAAACTCTGGAACAGTTATGAATGAAGTAGTCTTTTTTTCAAATTTATAAAATCAAAATTTCTGACAAATCGCTGTCTGATTTTACTTTTTGCGAACAAAATACGGCATATCATATATTACATTTCTTTAAAATAAGTTTTAAAAATTAAAATAGCTTAAAACATATTTTAATAATAATAAAAAATTATTAATTTCTTTTAACACAATTTGAATGAAGATTTAACATTACCATTGTTTTTATTATGAGTGGCATTTGGAAACTGTGCATCTATTTTGTTGGCATTGCTTTTCAGCAAACCTACATTTAAACGCTAATTTTAGAAAGTTTTCGTTCAGAAATTTTAAATGAGAATTTCTTTGTGAATAATTAGCACTGCTGTGCAGTTCTGTCATTTGAATTGAACTTTCAACAGTTAAACTTAACGATCTTGTAAAATTAATTGACATTATCGAGATGGAATTTTATTAAGAATTACACCATTGTAACTACATGAGACTTTTATAATAAATGATTCTTCTTATCTACTATTTTATTCCAATTATTTATCTTGTAAATGGAATAAAATAAAAATATATATATGTTATTTTATGGTCTCCAATTTTCTTTGTCTTGTTCAACCTACACTCGACCTTACGACTACGACTGCAAAATAATACGACAATTTATAAGAGTCGACAGGATAACCTTAGTACCAGCCATGAGTAAATCTAGAGACAAATCCATCCCAGAAACAGGTAGTTCTACCTCTCCTAAACTAAATCTTATACCGTTTAACCCACGTGGAAAGCTAAGTTTGACTTCGTGGATGAGACTGTTTGAGAAGCAAGCGGCGAGACAAAAGATTGACGAACAGGAGCTTCACTTTTACATACCAGAGTATTTACAGCATGAAGCTTTCGACTATTTTTGTGAAAATTTAGTAGAGGAAACGGATTGGAACAAAATTAAACAAAAATTACTCGAGTACTTTCCACAGGAAGAAGATGATTACTTCACCGAGTTTGTAAATCGACGACACCAGCGAGAAGAAGACATCTTAACTTACTACAGAGACAAAACCTCCTTGGCGGAAAAAGCTAAGTTAAACATGCAACAGACCATTACAGGCCTCAATGCCGGCATAAACTCAGAAATTAGAAAATATATGATAGCCGCACCGCCAACCACAGCTGTCGAATGGCTTCAGAAGGCTACT